GACCTTCTTGCTGCTACCAACTGCGCCACCTTGCAACCCGCCACTCATTCTCCATCTTTATTTATTCTTTTCAAAAAGGAACCAGGTTGAGTGTTTGTTATTTGATAACCTTAAAAATAAAAATAAAAAACATATCAATTCATTAATCCAAACACTTCATATTATTCATTAAATAAACCAAATCTGGAAACCAACATCTCAACACTAAATGAACTAAAATACAATTTTATCCTTTCAAGTCACTTCAAACCTGTCTCTACGTACTGGTGGCGTCTCTGCAGTCGTCAGTACCGGGAAGGTTTCGGACCTTCCTTCTGCACCGGCATGAACGACGAGCACACACCTGCTCAGGACCCACTAACGAGGCCTTCCTCTACCTTCTGACACACCTGTCGACTCAAAGTGGCACCGCTGCCCTCTTGCTGCTAGTAAATTAACTAAACAGGTGAAAAATTAAGTAAATAAATAAATATGTACACAGCACAATAACTGGAGTCATAACTCAACAGTAGCTATGCAGTCATTTAACTTCCTGTATCTAATTTAATGTTTAAAATAATGACTCAGTGTTACGGATGCTATGAATAGTGCACATTAATCCAACACTTTATTGGCACTCAGACGAATTCTTTTGTTCTTGTTTAAAGAATAAAACATTCATTCATTCATTCATTCATTCATAAATAAGACAAATAACACTGCTTTACTTGATCTTTTTGTCTGGAATTCACTTTTAAATTAAACAAAATTATCACAGAGGACTTTTTTGTTGACACTGTCGCTACTATGAAGAATAACTTCGACCGAAACCAACATTCAGTTTGAGAAAAGCTGAAAATAAAGTCATCTGCAGAGAACGCACTAAAATTAAAAGTGAATGTCTAAACGGTTCACACGATGCTCTTACCATACCAGACTGAATTTAGGACCTTTGCTAAGGAATCGACAGGCTAATGGCTCCCTTTAATCGTTAGCCCTGACGCTAACCTTGTGTCTGTGTTAGCTCTGTGTGAGAGCTGCTAGCGTACACGACCTACCTGGGTTAGCGTGAGGCACAATCCACAGACTGATTGTGTTTTCAATCCTCCTCATAATAAACCTGATTAGGGCCCGACCAATGTGGATGTTTTGAAGCCGATTGCGATATTTGGCAAAAAAATGGCGATAACTGATTAACCCTAACCCTTTAGTATTTGTTTAGCTTTAGAAGAAAGAGGAATTTCAAGAACAAAAACATGCAACAAAGCATTTAACATAATATACATCAGTTTAAAAAAAAGTTCCCAGAACAGATATGTCTGTAATGTGGGGTATCTTATTTTAAATTTGCATCGTGCATTTTTCTTTCTATGGAGCATGAATATAGCTACCAGCTGTACTGATGAAGTTATCTTTAGGTTTAGGCCGTAGGTGTGGATTATTTTGCCCTGGACGTGCTTCACTCGGGGCATCAACCACAGTCACCATCGACTCCAGTGAAGTGTGACCACTTTGGAGCATTTCATTCTCTCCACCGATGTCACTGAAAACAGGATCTCTGTTTGAGCGTCTTTGTGTGTTTTGTCTGAGAGTAAAAAGACAAATAAATGTGATATACATGAGCTCTGATAGCTCTGTGTACATAAAATAATGGTTGAACAAGTAACGGCGTGGATCCACCTCGAGGTTTAACAGCAGAACCACTATCACTGGAGCCTCCTCCTCTGGTCCTAAACTAAGCCCCGGGGCCTGTTCAGTCCTGGGTTTGGTCCCCCTCTCTATCAAAACTCATTCTGTAAATCATTCTCAAAGTCACTTTCAGTATATTTTTTTACATTAATACGTGATTATTCTTTCCTTTGCTTCCAGGGAGTATCCTGGCCGTGTCCATGGCTGATCCGAACGCCACGGGCAAAATCAACCGCTTTGCTGGCATCTGCATCCAGAGGGGAGGAAGTGGGCTGGGGGCCACGTTTGTCCTGAGGAACATCATCAACAACCAAGGTGAGCGTTGGTTTTCACTCACACACACTGTGCTCGGCATGGATGAGTATTTAGCTTAGATCAGCCAAAATGGCATTTTTTGAGCTTATTGACATTTTCTCTTGTCAGTATAAGAGCTTCATTTTCAGTTGTTCTTCTACAGTCCTAAGCTCTGCTGTTGCATTCAAAGCCACCCTCCAGTCACATTTGTCCTCTTGTTCTTAATGTAGGAGACGCAGGGAATATGCTTATGTTATAAAATGCGTCGTCAGAAGTTTGAAGCCCATTTCAGAATTTTGGGGCTACAACACGGGGTGACGTCGACACAGAACGGTAGACGGATCACTCGGAAAAGTATTAAAGATCGAGTGGGAAGTTTTCTACGTGTTCATTCACTCGCTTTGATCAGAAAAAGATCTTTCGCCTCATTATTTCTGTTTAACATAACTTTAATCTGCTTCACTGCCCTCGTCGGCCCCTTCTGGTACTAAAGGTGAGCCTCAGGTAAAGCCCTGTTTTAGGAAAGTATCCCCGTGTGTTTGCCGTAGGCGTGGAGATCTGCTACGAGATGTACAGCCCTCGCATACAAAAGATCGAAGTGCTGAAGTGTGAGAAAAGACTGGACGACAACCTGATGTACCTGAGAGACGCCCTGCCCGAGTACAGCACCGTGGACCCAGAGATGAAGCCGGTGCCCTTATCCTCCACTGAAGAGGTGCCTGTGAACAAGGTGAGACGAAGCTACCTGTCTCGTTACTGATGTTAATGTAGGTCTTGCTTGTAGTGCCTGAGATATAAAATGTGCTTTAGCTAATATCAGTAATTTGAGTCCTCATAAGTATGAGTTTGCTGTTTGCATGACGCTGTTCACGCAGCAAAACAAAGTCAGAAAAGCAGAGCATGAAATATGTTTTTGTCTGTTCACCAGCTGAAGGTAAGGATGCGCCCAAAGCCGTGGTCCAAACGCTGGGAACGGCCCAAGTTCAACATCCAGGGCATCCGCTTCGACCTGTGCCTGACCCCGGCCCAGATGGAGCACGCCCAGAAGTGGGCCGAGCCTTGGCGGGAGTACGACATGCTGAAGGAGTACGACACCTCCGAGCTGGAGAAGCAGATCTTCGCCGAAGTCCAGCAGGAAATGAAAAAGTGAGGAAGAGCTTCTCTGAGTAGCAACCATCAGCAGACTTCTCCCGGGACGGACTGGTTGAGTTTGCATGGATGCGGAGCAGCCGGCGAGAACGTTGTGGCTGCAGGAACCCGTTTGGATGAACTTACAAGTTGTATATAAGAAGGAAAGTGGTCACTGACGTATCTGTGACATTAACCACCGTGCTGAGTGGTTTATCTAATAAAAGCTGTTAAAATGTAAAGCTTTGGAGCTGCATTTGTCTTGCATTTCTCTTGCTACATCCGTTTTTTTGTGTTGTTTCTGGCTGGAACGCTGACACTAGGTGGCGCTGTTCCTCTACTTGTGTTGCGTCCGTCTGGTTATATAACTGTCAGTGTTTTGAGGGAAACATCTGCCATCCTAAAATAAACAAATGATGTATTATTTAAACAGCCGCGTCCCAAACAGCAGGTTAACCCAGTCCTTCTTCATTTCAATTCTTAAGAGGGGAAAAAAAAAAACCCCAGATCTTTCCATCGGTTTGTGTTCTTCAAGAGGTTTCTAGGTTTACTAAAGATTTCCAGATAGATCCGTAAACCTGCCTCCTGGAACGAGCTGGTATTCAGAGAGCGAACACCAAAGACACCCGGGAGTGTTTTACTGTTGTGGATGGAAAATTGTGGTGTTGAGATGGTATGTTAGAGCGTCAGCCGGGTCGTATAAAAACACTTGGACTCCTCATGTTATGTCTGCTGCCTGTGAGTGTGTGTGTGTGTGAGTGTGTGTGTGTGTGTGTATATAAACACGCTGAATGAGTCCCTGCACTCTAATTTCTCCATATTACAGGATGAGACGCGGAGAAAATGGCCTCTAATACAGGAGTAGCAGATGTTTGCTGAGCTCATTACGGACCACACAGAGTCCCAGTGTGGAGATACAGAGGAGTGAGGAGAGCCGTTATTCCTGTCGGGGTCGTGTGAAGCTTTTATACAGCGATTGGCCAGACTCCACGGCTTTGTGATTGTTTTAGCCTAATCTTTCTGCACCTGTTGAACAAACAGGCTTCCACCTCGCCGTGCTGCTAATTTACCCAATCAGCGCCTGACCTGCAGCAACCAGCTCCGTCTGTGTCCTGCCCGTCCTGCACGTTGTCATTACGCGACCCACCGAACCAGCTGGCCCTTTCACCTTTTCATTTTTCACTCTTTCTGTTTGGGGCTGACTGATGTGCACGTGTGGAGGCGGCAACAGAAATGTTTATCCTACGGCGCGTTACCGACGCAACGCCACCGGACTGGTAAACCGGTTCAAACCGCAGAGCTGCTCGGTCTGAGTCGCTGCTCCTCGGAGGAAGCTTCCTGCCGCCGTGTGTTTGTGTGTTCTTCAGGGCTGTGATCTGGGCTGCATGTTGCCTCCCCATGCCCTCAGGTTGACTTTTCTGCACCTGGAGTGAAGAGAAAGCTCTTTTGGCTGGGAAAGGAGATCAAACGCCAGCTCTCTCTCCAACACACACACACACAGAGAAACGTGCAGACAGGCTCGTATCATATCAGCCTCCACCACAGACAGACACCTCAAACGGTGCCAACTGTAAACGGCCGGGGCAACCTGTCTGTCAGTCCCCAGGAGAAACCAGATATCCTCCATCGGCGGTGTGAAATCAGGGTGGGGCGCTGCAGGTTTGACGAGGCTGCGATCCCACCCCTTCAACTGTAAAGCGTGGAGGGGGCTGACGATAGCTACAGTGCCACACCGCTATGAAGGTCAGTGCAGGAATGTAGGGAGGGACATACTCTTCTAATCTGTCTTCCTCCCTTTCGCTGGTGCTCCCATGACCCTCATCTCCTTCTCCCTCTAAGAGGAGGCTGGGAGGGGGGGACGGCTTCGGCTTTGAAAAGGAGCCAGGTTGATGAATTGGAGAGGATGTGATACAGAGTGAGCAGCAACTCCCACAGGTTGAGCTTTTTTGGGGGTAATGTCCTCCACTGGGCCGGTTCCTTTCGGAGCGCTGGGCTCTAACGTCTCTGTCGCCGTGTGATTTCTTACTCTGCTGTCTGCAGGCCCGGGGAAATTAGTTTCACTCTCTCCGTCTCTGTCAGGCAGCGTGAACTGTGTTTGAGCCGTCTGTGTGTATGACAAGTGCAACGGGATACTGGGCCACCCATAGGCCTCAGGTAAATTACACCCTGTCACCGTGTGTGTGTACATGTGCGCCCGAGCGTGTGTGTGTGTGTGTGCGCTACCCGGGGCCACCCGTATTCCTAGGTAAATTACACACTTGAGTTTCACCATATGTTTCCAGTGAAACGACACAACCGTCTGCTCCTCTCCGACTGTCCCATGGGTCTGACAGGGGCTCCTGCTGCCATCACTCTCTCTTTGTTACACACACACACACACACACACACACACACACACACACGAAGCCTGACAGTGCGACAGCTGTTAGGAAACATTACATTGCGAGCAGCTGATAGCTGAAGTTGAACAGGCACATATCACAGTCATTTTAATAATGCGGTCCTGTGTGGCGTGGGCTCTGGCAGCGCCGCCGGGGTCAAGGGTTCATTTCCAGTTGGGGCCAAGCATCTTGGAAATGTTCGGATAAAAGTGTCCATCAAACGGCACATGTTCTGTGCCAGCGGAGCGAGAATGAGTGAACAGGACGGGACTGATTTCAGACATTTAAGCGTCCGAGTCTGCTTCATCAGATCTGCTGGTCAAAGTGACGTCTGGTGACAACTGCCAAAGACCCGACCCCCCTGAGACCGGCATCCACCGTGTGGCCAATAATGCTAAACGACATGCATGATTTGACACATAACCATTTCAGTGGGGATTTTTACATTTCTTCTCTGCATAAAAAAATACAAAGATGATGAGGATTGTTGCTGCAGTTTGTACCCAACAATGTTTACGTCTTATATCTAGAGCAGGGGTGTCCAATCCTAGTCCTGCATGTTGTAGATGTTTCCCTCTTCCATCACACCTGATTCAAATCATCAGGATTGTTATTAGGCTTATGCAGAGCTTGATGATGAGCTGATCATTTGAATCAGGTGTGATGGAAGAAGGAAACATCTAAAACATGCAGGACTAGGATTGGACACCCCTGGTCTAAAGCATG